ACTTGCAACCCAGATATAGCTGAAGTCTTTCCTGAAAGACAACATCATTTATTGCAATCAATGTCAATATTTGCAACCAGAATGTGCAGATCAAAGAGAACCATTCTAACCTACAAGAAAAGACCCCAAAAGTATAATTAATGGGGTCAAGTCAAAGGGGTATAAAATTTCAACTACAAGAATTTTTATATATGAGCACTCGACTACTAGCTTTTCTGCTCTGATCTGATCCTTATTCCAATCGCCAAAAAAAATGAAAAGAGGGAAACATCACCCTGGGAAGAACAGAGCAGTGAAGGAGGAGTAAAATGTTCTTTCTTCATTTATTTTTGGGATAATTACACATTTGATCACTCAATTATTGGCTAAGTTGCTCGGATTCGGGCGCTGGTGTCCGATACGGGTGCGGATCTAGATGTCAAATCCCTCATGATCTAAATTTTAAGATGTGAGGGTAGAGATGCAGGTACAATTACGGGTGCCGGGATTGCCTAAAAATATTTCAAATATCTAAAATAGAGTAATAAAAATATGTCTAGATTATGAGACATTAGGTGAAAAAATTACAAGGTATTTCGAGAAGGAGAAAATATTGATCAAGAGGAGAATCTGAGAATGAGATAAAAGGAAAAGGTCTCACATAGAAATTTCTATATAAAAGGTATTTCATATTTTTCAATTTCACCCTAACTTTTGTTTTGATTTCAAAAATCAATATATCTGTCCCATATTTCTCAGTCGATTTTTGTCAAAATACCCAAAATCGGTTGATCAAATCCGGTTGGGATCCCACACCTACGTTGTGTCGACATAGTGCGGCATCCAAAGTAAAGAGTCCGAGACTCCGAGCAACTTAGATTATTGGTAAATTCTTATTTTGATCCTTGTGACGCCAAATATATTTAACCTTCATTTTATTTAAAATGTGTGTTTTTGGTCTCTTTATATAGGAAAAAAGTTATAGTTAGATTAGTTTTTACAGCTATGTTACCCTCAAATATGGAATAACAATATAATTTAACATAGCACATGGGTAATTAAATGCTTTTAGCAATTAACAATTCATTAAAGTTGTGAAGATTAACAAGTAGATGGATTAAAAGTGAACACTTCAATTAGTTGAAGGATAAATGTGCTTAACCAAATATCACAATGACCAAAATCAGAGTTTGTCAATATTTCAAGAATTAAAAATTTCATCCCTTTTTTGGGTCGGTAGTGTCATATCCATGTTATGTCTTTGAAGTGAATATCTTTTCAATTATCTGTGATAAGAGTAAAGTAAAAGAGTGGTACTGTATCGAGGGATAGAATACAGTATTTCAAGTTTTTAACTTGTTCATCTCGGCGATGTTTCATAAATCTTAACATGCCGTTATTTCAGATCTAAGTAATTGTTACATGCACTCAAATGTTATTGAAATTCTGAGTATATTCAAGAAAAACTCTTCTCCATCCCTGACTTAGAATGCAAACTGTATCTTCCATAATCAGGTGAGGAGCTACACAAGCTCCACATTATCATCACTCTTGCGCTTCAGTATTAACAAAGACATTAGTCAGGAAAATTGAAAAGTAGCGATATCTCTTCTTTGCCAGCACCTGAGCCTACTGCAATATTTATCCACCCTCGCCGCTCCCCCTCCCCCCAAAACTTAGAATGCAAACTATTTCACATTCCCCAGCACTCTTAAAACATCACTATTAACCAAGAGACTAGTCAGAAACTAACAAATAACTCCTGTTGCAGCCTGACCATACTGCACCATATAGCTAGCTCTATACTTACCTCTCTCCACCACCACCACTCCCCCCCCCCCCCCCCACTCAAATACTGTTGGAGCACTTTAAAATCTTAAATTATTAGGA